GAGTTTCCTCTTTCCTGAACCAGCACCTGCTGGGATGCTTCCTGGTGCGTGTCCCTGCCAGCTGCTCATCCAGGGACGGGTACCACTGGCCACTCCGTCTGGCCTGGTCCTTGGATTGTCTCCCCAGGCCTCGCTTGTCCTGGCTCCCGGACCGTAGCTGCCCTGGGAGGGAGCCAGAGTGAGCGGAGATGAAGGTCAGAGCCCAGAGTCCGAGGCCCTTGCTCACAGGAGTGGGGAGCCACGGAGGTATACGAGCTTCTCGGTGCCGCCGCCCCGATGCTGTTACTACCCGAGGCTTGAACAAATCCCTGATCCAGAATGTGCATCCTGACTTGGAGTCGGGCCAGGCCCTCCCTGAGCAGCAGTGGCCCTAGGGGTGCTGGATTCCTGTGGCAGGACACAGAAGGGTGTCTGTTGACACACTGCTTCCTTGGCCCAGCCTCCCTCCTCCGGGACCCAGTGGTGGTGTGGCGGCCGAGAAGGCAGCCGCCAGAGCCGGGCAGCCTGGGCCCAGTCCCGCGCATTCCGTGTCCGTGTGAATGGCGGGGAGGGAGGGTCGTGTGAGGGTCAAGTCATATGCAAAGCACTTAGAACAGTGCCTGGCAAGGGAGAAGCACTTGGTCAACATTTCATTATTATGTCCTTGGGCAAGTGATTACCTTCTTTAAGGCTTGGTTTTCCTCGGCTGCCTCCTCCTAGGGTTACTTAGGAGATTAAATGAAGTAATACGGGCAGAGTGCTCAGCACCCAGCCTGGCACATGGCTGAACTTGATAAAAATCATTTTATTATCCAGTTATTGAGCCTAGTTTTCTGTCGTTGTGGCATGAAATACATACACCTTTTAGCAGCTTTTCGGTGCTGGCGATTGTGACTCTGTCTCCAGAGCATGCTGGGGCCTTTCCATCCCTTAGCCTGTTCCTGCCTTGTGCCCGCCTCTGCCCTTCGGAAGGTCAGGCCGCTCGCCATCCAGACTCAGGGTGGAACAAGTGGAGGGTTGCAGGCGAGGTGGCTGCCCAGGGCCTGGGGTGTGGACTTGTTGGCTTTTTCCAGCACAGAAAGGGTAGCAGTGGCCTGATTGCCCATGAAACTGGTCCTTGTTCACTGCTCCCTGGTCTCAGAAACCCATCTCTGCAGACCCTCCAGCTCCCACCAAAGGCCGCCTGGGCCTTCCTGGGGTCTCACGGCTGCCCCGGAACCCCCCACTGTTCTTGGCCTGCTTTCCTGCAGTGGGGAGAACCGCCCCCTGGCCCCGCCATCCTGACCACCAGAAGATCGATGGAACTGTTCCCCCTTTTCCCTGGGAGTCTGATAAGCAGACGGACCCCCAGTCGGTCACCATCTGTCCCCCCTCCCACCCCAGGACCCTTCTCTCCAGCTCTGGGTTTTCTGCCTGGAGCCTGCGGCCCTGATCGGTCCATTCCGCTCCCAGCTGTTGCTCTCCAGGGCAGTCGATCCCGCAGCCGTGAGGGATTAGATTTGCTGTTGCCAGAGCTGCTGGGGTAGTTCTGGCCAGGGTGGCTGTCCCAGGGCAGGAAGAAGCCCATTTTTCAGGCTGGCAGGCTGGGGAGAACCCACGAGGTGGTGCTGGGTTCCCCTCTGCATTTTCCCCCAGCTGCCTGTCGGGCTGTTGTGAGGATACTCTGCTGTGTGGACGGAAGTGTTGTGGTCAAGAGTTGCCTTGAGCCTGTAAACCCCAGAAGCTGAGCTGTGGTGCAGTCGCCCAGCGTAGATGCCAGCGCGAAGAACCCCGAAGCCCTTCCCACCCCTACAACCCGCTCAGCATAGGCCAGGGAGGCAGACGGGCATCCCCGGAGCCTGACATCCCCTCCTGGGACGAGGCTTGGCTGCTGTGCCTGGTAGGAAAAGTGAGGCCCTGTGAAGTGTGCACAGACTCCCTCTGTGTGAACACTGTGCCTCCTTGTGAGGCTTCCCGACCCACACATCTGCTGCCCTGCACACAACGGGGCCGTGTTCCCACCCCAGGAGGGACCCTGTTCCTGCAGCCAGCACTGGGAGGGCGGGTGGGGAGAGAGGAGGAGCCTGACGCCCAGACCCTACGTGTGCCCATGGCACCACATCTCACTGGGGCTCCCGCTTTGGGAAATCTTTCATGTGCCAGGCACCATCTAGGGGCTGGGGGTACAGCAGCGACCAGAGAGGCAGAACCACTTCCCTCATGGCATTGACATTCGGATAACAGACAAATAAGGAAGACCTCCCTGTCGGGGTGCTGAGTAGCTGTGTGCATGGAAGAGTGCTAATCAGGGGAGACTGAAACAGGGTGGCAGCAGGAAGGGGACTGGTGAGCAGAGACCCAAAAGGGGTGGGGGTGGGGGTGAGGGTGGTCTTTCAAGGGGTCCAGTGCCCAGCAATGAGCGGGTGCTCAGTATACGTTTGGGCCATTGGTGAAGTAAAGGCTATATTGAGTGACCTGGGGGAAGGCTGGGAGGTGGGACTGCCTCACCCTGGCGCCACCCGCTGCTCAGCCACGCACTCCTGCCGCCTAGGCTGCATGCAGCCTCCTCCCTTCCCCCTCCCTGCTCAGTGGAAGGGGCCGCCTGCCCCACCACTGCCCTCCCTTGCTGGGGCCTAGCTAGCCTCTGCCTTCAGGGCACGCCTCTGCTTCTGCTCTCCAGCTGCTGACCCCCAGGAGGGGGAGCAGTTAATATGAGAGGAGCCCCTTCAGCTTGCTGTGACTTGGGGTTGCATCTCTGCATCCACAGCCTCCTAGGCCTGTTCTGCATGTGTCATTTTAGCTCTGCTTTTGCCCGGAATCTTCCGGATCAGGCTAGACCAGGTGGCAGCCATCAGAAGAGCCAGCTCAGGTGTCAGGGCAGCGGGAGGATGGAGTTACACCCCCCAGAGACCGGACGCTCCTGGCTTAGGAGCTGGCAGCTGCTTGCTGCTGGGGGAGGTGTGGCCCCCACATCCGTGCCCTGGGTACAGCCACCCCTGCCTGCCCCTTCCCAGCTCTGTGTCCGTACGGGAGGAAGGAGCCTGGGACACTGTACAGCAGGGTCACTAAGGACACAGCAATCAGCCAGACCTGGCTTTGCCCTTAGTAGCCATACAGACAGGACGCCTAACCTCTCTGTACCTCAGTTTTCTCATCAGGAAGGTGGGCTCATGCCCACTTCCTATGGCTGTTGCTGAAGGTGTGTCGCCTATGCCCGGAACAGTGTAGTCACCCAGGAGATGGCGGTTAGTGATCTTCACTGTCGCCACCACTGTGATGGACAGAGGTGTGCCTGGGTGGGGTGTGGTGGTTACGTGGGGCGGGGAGAAGTAGGGCCTGGGCCCCGCCTCTCTCCCAGCGGCTGCTCAGTGATGCTTGTTGAACAAAGCCAGGCGCTGAGGCCTCAGGGAGGCTGTGCTGGCAGAGGCTTGGCAAACAGATGGCCAAGGGAGCCTTCCAGGTCTGGCTCACTGCGGCTTTGGGAATAAGAGAAGCCAGAGCCTGTCTGGGTTTCTGTTGGGACCCTGGGAGGGGAGGGGAGGGGAGCCCCCGAGAGGCCCGGTGTGCGGTCAGCACTCCTGTGGCCCCGTGAGTGGGGCCACGGTGGGCTCTGTGGTCGGGCGGGGTTCAGCAGCTGCTTGCCTGATGCAAGAGGCCTGTCTTCGCCCCTGTAGGGTTTCTTACGGACAGAGGGAACTTCACAGCCTTGCCAAGTAGGCCCGAAGTCGGTTCATGGTGGGCGTGTGCCGAGGTGAAACCGCCTCCTCGCCAGCTGGGCATTTATTCTGTGTGGATGCTGGAGGCGGGTAGCGCGGTGGCCTCTAGGCCAAGAAGAAAGCGAGTGTCGGGGCTGCCCTGTGGGGCTCTCTCAGTCCCGTCCCCTCCCCACTCCTGAGTCAGGCCACCATACAAGTGTGTCCTATTGACAAGGCCTTGACCTGCTGGCGTGGGTCCCGGGCAGCAGGGTGAGAGCACACAGCAGCCGGGACCCGTGCTTAGCCATCGCAGGTCCTAGCACGGCCTGGGGGGCAGGCTGCCGTGGGCCTTGGCCAAGGACCAGTGGGAGATGGAAGGATCGTGTCTGTAGGTTTTGCTGGGGACCTGCCTGTCGCTCCTGCCAGTGAACCCGATGGCTCTTCTCCAGCCACAAACCTTGATGTCCCCAGCTCAGTGCTGGGTAGCTGGATGGAGGCTTGAGGAACCTTCCTGCAGGGGAGGAATACCTCCCCCCCCGCCAGTAAAGCTGGGGCCGGCAGTAAGTGCCGGGGCCCTTTGGTTGAGGGAGCAGTCCTATCCAGGAAGCCTCGGCTGCAGGGACCCTGAGCTAAGGGGGAGGGGACAGGGCCCGGGCAGGTGGACATGGGTGAGGACCTCTGCCCACAAACGGCATGGCTGCTTGCTCAGTGCTCAAGTGACAGCGGGTATGCTGAGCAGATCCCCCCACTTCCCACTGCCCCCAGTAGGGCCACAGTCGCCATCTGCTTCATTGAGGGTGGGCACTGAGTCAGGACTTGTCTGCATCTAGGAGGGAGGTGGCTGTGTGGCAGACGGGCCACAGGACCTGGGTTTCTCCTGTTTCCATGTAGTGGCAGTGCGGCCTTGCCCCATAGTAACGTGGATTGTGGGGGACACACAGGTCTTCACGGAGCATCACGAGGGTTCAGGAGGGACGGGGCGGAGGATGCCACCTTGTTGTGACTGGCCGCTCCCCCTGGGGTCCAGGGGGCCTCCCCTTCTGTGGTGAGCTAAGCATACGCTGTTGTCTGCCCAGAGGTGGCCTCCTGCAGCCACCAGCCAGCCTTTGTCCTCATTTCGTAGCCCCCAGAAGGCTCCCAGGGGCATTTTGGTGTCAGGTGTTAACTTGTTTTGAGCTGTACATGTCAAGTGTAAGAAGTCTTCAGAGCTCTGGTTCACGTAGGTTGAGAGAGCATCCTTTTCCTCTGCATCTCTACACCTGCCTTTGACGGAAGAATCCATCCTGTGTCTTCTGGGGAAGTCTGCCTTGTGGGTTTCTGAACTCTGCCTCCTCTGTTCCCTCCCAGGCCATCAGCATCAGCAAAGCCATCAACACCCAGGAGGCCCCCGTGAAGGAGAAGCATGCGCGGCGTATCCTTCCCTGCTTCGGGCAGGCCGGCCGCTGTCCCTCTTGGTCTCTGGGAGGAGGCGGGGAGAGTGAGAGGAGGGTGTGGGGCTGCCCTGTGTTGTTTCTGCCATGGACTTGGTGGGAGTGAATTGGGGGGTGGGGGACAGTGGAGGCGACCGGCCACCAGAGCTTTGTGAAGTGTGCCGTCGACAAGACAGAGGCCCGAGAAGGCGTGTGCTTGTGTGGCCCAGTGGGGCCTCCTGCCTTGCTCTGCTGCTTCCACATTCTCAGTCTTATCTGGGGGACCCTGTCTATCGTCTTAGGCTGTTGGGCCCGGTTAAATTTGTGAGGCTTGACCTTGGCAGGAAACCGTAGCTTTTGGTGGACTCCTGCCAACATGGAGGGAGAGGGGTGTTGGGAGAAGGTGCTGGGTGGCCATGGGTGAGGGGCCAGCCTGCCCCCTGCATCACTCAGCTGTTCCCGTGAGCACCCCAGCCTTCCCTACACTTGAGTCTCTCTGCCTCTTGCACTTGGCCTTGACCCTGGTAGGCATCATTCTAGGCACTCACCATGAGAAGGGGGCCTTCACCTTCTGGTCCTACGCCATCGGCCTGCCCCTTCCCAGCAGCTCCATCCTCAGCTGGAAGTTCTGCCACGTGCTGCACAAGGTCCTCCGAGACGGGCACCCGAATGTGAGTAGTGCTGCCCTCCGTGCTGAGGGGCCAGGGCCACCTGCCAGGCCAGCGCCCCAGGGAGGCAGTGCAGCCGCCCTGTGAAATGAGAGCCCGTCCCCACGTCTGCCTGGGCCCGTCCCTGCCTGCCCTCCGCATGCCAGCCAGCATCCCCTGCGTGGGTGTGGGTTCTTCATCCTTCTCCCCATCCCCCCACGTGGGTGTGAGTTCTTGATCCTTCTCTCCGTTTCCCTTCCAGCATCCCCTGCGTGGGTGTGGGTTCTTCATCCTTCTCCCCATCCCCCCACGTGGGTGTGAGTTCTTGATCCTTCTCTCCGTCTCCCCTCCGTGCTGCAGGCGGTGGGTGTGGGTTCTTGATCCTTCTCCCCGTCTCCCCTCCGCGCTGCAGGCGGTGGGTGTGGGTTCTTGATCCTTCTCCCCGTCTCCCCTCCGCGCTGCAGGCGGTGGGTGTGGGTTCTTCATCCTTCTCCCCGTCTCTCCTCTGCGCTTCAGGTGCTGCATGACTGCCAGCGCCATCGGAGCAACATCCGGGAGATCGGAGATCTGTGGGTAAGTGCCATGAGAGAGCGCAGTGGCCTCAGCACCTTGCAGAGGGCATAGTCCAGAAATCCCAGCCCCAGTCCTGCTTGGCGTGCTGACCGCCCCCGCCGCCCCCCCCCAGGCTCGTGGGGCTGAGTGAATGGGAGCTCCCTGCAGATGGCCGTCTTTTTCCTCCTTTCCCTCAGGGCAGAAGTCATGATGTTATCTGGGGAGACCGTGGGGGCGGACCTGGGTCAGTAAATGAAACACAACCTTGCTTTAAAGGTCTTGTCCAGGAAGTTCCAAACGCATAACTAATGGCCCTGCTCCAGAAACTCAGCAACCGCTGGTCCCTGTGAGCTGGAAAATATGGCGACACCGGAGTCTGGGTGTCTGACTGGCAGTTACAGCCAATGTAAGGGGCACAGACTCCTTGCCAGACTGGCTGCTTTAGAACCTCAGGATTGGGAACTGGGTTCAAAAAACTTCCCAGAAGATTTTTATCCATAATAAATTTGGGAGCCCCAAGAGCTTATATTCTAGATCTACTCTAAGACCCTCAGAGAATTTGGGGGTGGGGGACAGCATCTGTGACCTAATATGTGTCCCCGGGGAGTACCGCTGGGACCTCGTGGGCTAGGCCAGGGGCAGGGCAGCCTCTGAGAGCTGAGCTTCAGAGGGAGGCCTGCCCGGAGCGGACACAAACTGCCATGTCTCGCAGATGTCCCTTGAAGTAAAGACAACAGTGCCTGTGGTGACGTTTGTGGACGCAGGCCCAATTGGCATGCCCGCGGCAGCCACGGTGTTAGGAGGTGACTGGATGGCAGCTGGGAGGCTGCATACACGCACCCAGCAGAATGCGCCTCCCGGCTGCCCCCAGAATTTTAATGAAGTGTTCCAACTCCAGGCTGGCCTGTTGCCCTGGACAAAGCCGCCTTCTCACAAGAGTTTCTCTGGCAAGAAGGGCTAGGAGTAAAATAAAAAAAAAAAAAAAATTAAACACAGAGCCGTAGACAAAGCACAGGGCTGGTGGCGGCCCCGAGGAGAGATGCTTTGGCCACCTCTGGAGGGCTGAGCGGTATTTGTGCACGAACATCCGTCCGTGTGGCAGGTGGAAGAGGGACGCTCAGCCGGCGTCCTGCACCTTCCCGCCTCTGCTTCCTCGTTGGCCCCAAAGTGTGAACAGGTTCCGTAGGATTTGTGGGCACGTTCCTGGGGCAGGAGACCCTCACCCCAGTGCTCCTCTCTCCGCAGGGACATTTGCATGACCGCTACGGACAGCTGGTGAATGTGTACACCAAACTCTTGCTGACCAAAATCTCCTTCCACCTCAAGGTAGTTGCCGTGACCTCATGGGGCTGGGGGTGCGGGGCCCTGGGCTTTTCTCTCTCTCAGGTACTGGAAGCCGCATGGTGGCATCTGCTATGTCCCAACCTTGACCTGAGGGGAAACCGGGGGTGCCTAGGATGCCTTGAGAGTCAGGGCACCTTGAGACATTTCCCGCCAATGCCAGGGGTGGTGTCCGCCTTGCCCTCGACTCCAGGCGGCCTCTTGCCCTGGCTGGATGTTCCCCCCTCCTTTGCTCCATCACCTACACCCCCTTAGCTGGTGCCCAGGGCAGATGGGGGGGCATCCCTGGCCTCTCCTCCTTTCCTCAGAAGCCAGACCAGTTTTGGGCTAGGGCCAGCATGGGCCTCAGCTGAGTGGGGGTGTCCTCTCCATAGCACCCTCAGTTTCCTGCGGGCCTAGAGGTGACAGACGAAGTGTTGGAGAAGACTGCTGGGACTGACGTCAACAACATGTGAGTCCCTGGGGACAGTGTGGCTGCCTGGAGCCGCTTCCTTTCTCCCTCAGTTTCCCCGGTGGCTCCCTCAGCAGTCCACGCTGCGGGTCCATGAGGCCAGGCACTCATCAGCGGCTGGCTGGGGCAGAGGGTCCTGTCCCCAGAAGATGAGGCTGAAGTTCAAGGGCTGGGGTTTATTTGGAATCTGGCCTCTTTGCCTGTAAGATGGCTGTCCTGTGCAGAGGCGCGTGGATGAACCGTGTTCCCTCTTCCTGCCTGTGGGGGGGTGTCTCATGGTGTGAGCTGCCCGCCCCTCCATTCAGCACCTGCCCCCCCCCTTCCCCTCATAGCTTCCAGCTCACTGTGGAGATGTTTGATTACATGGACTGTGAGCTGAGGCTTTCCGAATCAGGTAAGCCAACCCAGGAGGAGGCCTGGTCGCCTCCCCTTCCTGGTGTGTCCCCGCCTCCCCCCCCTCCCCTCCCCCCTGCCCCGGGTCCGGCCTCGTTCCTCAGGGAACCACCAGAGCCGGATGGGAAGCTAGCCCACCAGCTTACCCCGCCCTGGTATCCATGCCCCTGCCAGGAGGGGGTAACGAGGCCTCCAGGTGCCCCCAGGACATGGGAGGTGCTCACTGCCCTTGCAGGGTGCCAGGGGCGCCAGGCCCCAGAGGTGTCTGGGGCACGGCCCTACCTGATCCAGGCTCCCCCTGGCCTCGGGCATCTACAGAGCCCACCCGGGAGAGAGTTGATCTGGGTCACCTTGCCTGTTTCCGGCTATAAAAGGCCTGTGAGTCATGGACTTTGCAGCCCAGGGACCCAGCAGCCGCTGCACAGGAAGTCTTAGGGGGCTCACCCTCTCGGGGCCACAGAGGAAATCGTTCTGGGCGCCAGCTTCAGGACGGCTTGTTGGGTGACTCAGTGCTCTTTGTCGGAGAAGGAGTAGCAAATGCCTTTTTATGGGAAAATCTGGATCTGGGAGAGGGGGGTCTGGGCTGCCTCCTGGCACTCCTGTATCCGGACTCCGAGCTGCACCCAGAGGAGCCCAGGTCTCACTGGGGAGCATGGCCCGGCCTGTGACTGGCAGGGACGAGACGTGCTTCTCACAGCGGTGCCCACCAGGGAAGACAGAAGGGCCACAGTCGGGCGCCCCACCCCTTGCAACGCTGATCTCTGGTCCACAGGCCGGTGTCTCCCTGGAGAGCCTTCCTGGCTGCCCCTCGGGGAAGAAATGGCTTTGCCTTATATCAGACCCCAAATAGTGTTTTATGTGTGTTTCCATTTTTATAGGAAAATGTACTTGAGTGACGTGATTGAAAGTTCAGATTTAGAGGGTGAGGGTCCGTGCTTAGCTGTGTCTTGCTCCTCATCCCTCCCCTCCTGGGCTTGGAGGTTTGCAAACGGTCCCACCCTAGGCCAGGTGAGGATAGGGCCCCAGGGCTTGTCCCGGCATCTGTGTCGTGTGTGGGCCACCCTGGCGTGCGGTCTGCCCGTTGTCCTTTCTCTTGCTGCCCTAGAGAAGAGGCGGCCGTGGTAGGGGCAGCCTCATGTTTGTCCCTGGCCCTCCTACTCAGCTGTGCTGATGAAAGCCTTGATTGTCAGGGACAGGGGAGATTGACTCCCAGAGCAAGTGAGGTTTGGGGTCACTTGGGGTTTGCAGAACCAAGTCGTGGTCTGGCTGCCGCGTGGCTCTCGCCACAGCTGTAAGATGAGCTACACAACCTTGAGCTGCCTCCGTCCCCCGTAGATTCTGGGTGAGCTTGAGGCCCACGGGTACAGGACCATCGAAGTCACCCTATACCTCCAGCCCCTCGTCCTGGGTGCAGTGCGTGGTGGCTCTTAGGAGACGCTTGCTGAACCGAGCTGTGTTCCTTGCCTCGACCCCGCTGTTGCGCTGGTTTGTGAGGGCCCCCTAGTGTCTGGGGCAGCCACAGCCCAGGGGGCTCCTGTCCCAGCAGTTTGGAGTGTGTTGGCGTCCGAGGGCCTGGGACAGAGTTGTCCTGGCTGGCCGGGGCTGGCAAGGCAGGTCCCCAGGCCGCTGGCACCTCCCAGGGTTGCTCTAACGATGCCCCGAGATAACGGCGTGGGGCTGCACTCTGCACGCCTCTCACTGTGCCTGTCACCAAGGCCGCGTCCCAGCTTCCCATGCGACCCTCCTCCCTCCACTTCTGCAGTTTTCCGGCAGCTCAACACAGCCATCGCTGTGTCCCAGATGTCCTCAGGCCAGTGCCGCCTGGCCCCCCTCATCCAGGTCATCCAGGACTGCAGCCACCTCTACCACTACACAGTCAAGCTCATGTTCAAGCTGCACGCCTGTAAGTCCCCCAAGCCCCGGCCGCCCTGCCTCGGGCCCCCTGAGGTTCGGCCAGAGCCACAAAGGGCCATGTTTAGGCGGCTTACATTGATAGATGTTGATTGTATCAGCAATGACAATCAAGACATTTAAAAAATAGCAACATTTAGGGGCGCCTGGGTGGCTTAGTCGGTTAGGCGTCCGACTTTCGCTTAGGTCATGATCTCGCGGTTCGTGGGTTCGAGCCCCGCGTCGGGCTCTGTGCTGACTGCCAGCTCGGAGCCTGGAGCCTGTTTCGGAGTCTGTGACTCCCTCTCTGTCTGACCCTCCCCTGCTCACGCTGTCTCTCTCTCTCTCCTAGAAATAAATAAAACATTAAAAAATTTAAAAAAAATAAAAATAAAAAAAATAAAAAATAAAAAATAGCAACATTTAAAAAATAGCAATTTTTTAAATGTATTTTTGAGAGGTGGGGGGGAGGGGCAGAGAATCCCAAGGAGGTTCTGTCCACGCTGTCAGCGCAGAGCCCCACGTGGGCTCAAATCCATGTACCGCAAGATCATGAGCTGAGCCGAAGACGGACGCTTGACTAAGCCACCCAGGCGTCCCTAAAGGATACTTGTCAGTTCAATGTGACCCTAAGACCCTATCCATTAACATAAAGAATGTAGGAAAAACCCTCTTCTCCAACACAAGGATTTAGGGAGAAGAGGGCCGTGGTTTTACACGGTTGTTCTCTGAAACGCCTGGTCTGGCAGCCGCCATGGCGCCTGCATCTGAGGTCAGCCTCCGGTGGCGCCTCGTGTCCTGCAGGCTGGCGTGACACATCCAAAGAGGCGCATGTCACCTCCTTTGTGTTCACGGAGGGTTTGACCCTGGCGCACCCTCCGAAGAGGTCTCTGTCCTTGCACCCCACCCTGAGAACTACGGGCCTGGGGTGAATGAGCTGTTGGAATGCTGTCACCCTAGGCTGGAGTCCAGGAGCAATTTCACAGCGCCCCCTACAGGCAGATGCCGGTCAGGCTTGCTGGGGTCAAGATGCCGACTTTGGCGCGCGATGATCCACTCACCCACCTCGGAGTCAAGAGCCGCACTCCCACAGGGGGTCTCCCCTCACCTTACTCTCCCAGTTGGTGGGGGGCCTGGCCAGGCATCAGGTGCTCTCTTTAGGATGGTTTCTAGAATGTGGTGGAGCAGAGTGGCAACGGGAGGGAGGGAGGGTTAAGTCTTTGCAGGTGCCGGGGCAGAGGGGAAGTCCTGTCCAATGTCCCTGCCCTCAGGTCTCCCAGCTGACACCCTGCAAGGCCACAGGGACCGGTTCCATGAGCAGTTTCACAGGTACGGCTCGGGCAGGGAGGAGTTCTGCGGCCTGGTGAGCTGGGGCCCCTCTGTGACATCCCCTCATCTCCCCCCCCCCCCCCCCCCCCCCCCCCCCCCCCCCCCCCCCCCCCCCCCCCCCCCCCCCCCCCCCCCCCCNCGCCCCCCCCCCCCCCCCCCCCCCCCCCCCCCCCGGGCTGCAGCCTTCTTCCCACTCTGGGCGCTTGGGCTCTGGGGACGACTGACGGGGGCTTCCTCCAGGGCCGCGAGCACCTCCCACTCATTGCCCCTCCCCCAGGGGCCTCCCAACTTCCTGCGGGCCTCGGCACTGGCCGAGCACATCAAGCCTGTGGTGGTGATTCCCGAGGAGGCCCCTGAGGATGAGGAGCCCGAGAACCTCATCGAGATCAGCACGGGGCCCCCAGCTGGGGAGCCGGCGGTGAGGTTCCCCCACTTCCGGTTGGGTGTCCCTTGGCCCCGCCCTCCCCTGGCCTGCCGGGCCCGGGGACGTGGCCGTGGGTCACCGTGCTTGTGTGGCAGGTGGTGGCTGACCTCTTTGAGCAGACGTTCGGACCCCCCAATGGCTCCTTGAAGGATGACAGGTGAGGTGAGGGCCCGGGCGCCGCCTGCGGGGGGGGCGAGCTGTGGTCCCCACTGACTGAAGGCCATGTGTCCCCAGGGACGTGCAGATCGAGGCCCTGCAGAGGGAGGTGGAGGCGCTCCGTGCGGAGCTGGAGAAGATCAAGCTGGAGGTGAGGGCCGGGGGCGGGGCTGTGCGGCGCGCCCCCCCCGCCCCGCCCCCAGGCGCGGGCCCCACACCGCCGCGCTCCTGCTGCACAGGCCCAGCGCTACGTGTCGCAGCTGAAGGGCCAGGTGAACGCGCTGGAGGCCGAGCTGGAGGAGCAGCGCAAGCAGAAGCAGAAGGCGCTGGTGGACAACGAGCAGCTGCGCCACGAGCTGGCCCAGCTGCGGGCGGCGCAGCGCGAGGGCGAGCGGAACCAGGGCCTGCGCGAAGAGGCCGAGAGTGCGTGGGCCGCACCGGGCTGGGGGGCGGGGGGGGGGGGTAGCCGGCAGCCCGGGACCACCGCCTCTCCTGCCCCCCTCCGCAGGGAGGGCCAGCGCCACCGAGGCGCGCTACCAGAAGCTCAAGGAGAAGCACAGCGAGCTCATCAGCACGCACGCCGAGCTGCTCAGGAAGGTAGGCAGAGGCGGGGCGGGTGCCGGCTGAGTGGGGCCGTGGCGGTGCCCAGCAGTGAGCCTGCCCCCCACCTGCGCAGAACGCGGACACGGCCAAGCAGCTGACGGTGACGCAGCAGAGCCAGGAGGAGGTGGCGCGGGTGAAGGAGCAGCTGGCCTTCCAGATGGAGCAAGTGAGACGGGAGTCCGAGCTGAAGGTGCGTCCCAGGTGTGCCTGGGTCCCCGCGGCCCGGCTCTGGCGTTGCTGCCCCCACCCCGCCCCTGTGACACGCTGTCCTGTCCCAGCTGGAGGAGCAGACTGACCTGCTAGAGAAGCTCAGGAGGGAGCTGGAGGCCAAGGCAGGGGAGCTGGTGCGCACCCAGGAGGCCCTGAGCCGCACGGAGCAGGTATGGCCCCTGCGGGGAGGGGGGTGGGGGCAGGATTTAGGGTTCTCTCTCCCATGAACGGGACCATGGCCACATGCCGCTAGCGTGGCTCAGGCCTGGGGTGTGGTTCGGACCTAGGGGACACAGGAGCAGGTCCTGGCTTCAGGAAGTTCTCTAAGGGGGCAGTAAGGAGAATGTGGCCTTCTGGAGTGGTCTATAGAGCTGATGGGGGCGGGGTGCAGGCGAGGTCTCCGGAAGCCCCGCTCACTGCCCGCTGTTCGCAGAGTGGCTCGGAGCTGAGCTCGAGGCTGGACGCACTGAATGCCGAGAAGGCCGAGCTGAGCAGCGAGGTGCAGCGTCAGGAGGCAGACCTTCGGGCGGCCCAGGGCCTGGTGCGAGAGAAGGAGGAGGCGCTGAGCCGGGAGCAGCAGCGCGGCTCTCGGGAGACAGCTGAGCTGCAGAGGCGGCTGGCAGACAAGGTGACACCCCCCCCCAGCCCCCACCCTCACCACAGCAGCAGCTGGGCCGGGACTGGTGTGCAGGGCTGTGCATTCCCCCGGTACTTCCAGAACATTTTTACGACTCCAAGAAGAAACTCTTCACCCCTGAAGCAGTTAATCCCCACCCCATCTGACAGCCCCTGCCCGCCTCTGTGGCTCTGGATCGACCTGATGCAGGCATTGCACGTGGATGGGGCCACACCACAGGACTGCCGCCTTTCCCTGAGCAGTGTTTGCAGGGTTCATTGTGTGTCGTGGCCCAGTCACGTCCCACGGCCAGAGCGCATTCTTTGTACTCAACTATCAGTTGGTGGCTATTTGTCCTCAATTTGGTTGTTGTGGGTAATGCCATGAGCCAAAGTGGCTGTGCCATTTCTGTTCCTGCTAGGAACGTATTCAGTGTTCAATTTCCCTGCAACCTTTTTGTTTTTTTAGTTTAACTTATTTGAGAGAGAGTGAACGAGCTGGGGGGTGCAGAGAGAGGACACGGGATCTGAAGTGGGCTCTGCACTGACAGCAGAGAGTCCACCGTGGGGCCCAAACTCCCACGAGATCATGACTTGAGCCTAAATCAGACGCTCAACTGACTTAGCCACCCAGGCGCCCCATCGGTTGCCTTTTTATTGCTGAGCTGCCCCTGCCCCTGCCCCGCCCCCCCCGGCCCCCCCCCCCCGCCCACTCCTGACAGAGCAATACCAGCACAGGGGTGGGTTGGGGCCTCTCCTCTCCTCAGACCTCCCTCCCCAGTGAGGGTCCCAGCTGGCCGCCTGCCTGGCCGCCACAGCGCTGACCCTCGGCGGGATGTCCACGCCACCTCTCCCGTCCCCCCCAGGAGTCTCAGGAGCAGGAGCTGCAGCAGAGGCTCGTGGACGAGCAGTTTGCGGTGCTCCGGGCCACCGCCACCGAGGCCGAGCGCATCCTGCAGGACGCCGTGGCCAAGCTGGATGACCCCCTGCACCTGCGCTGCACCAGCTCCCCAGGTAGGTCCCTTCGGGCCGAGGCCTTGCCTGGTGGGTGCGCGGCGCGCCCTGAGGAAGGGGCGGGAGGGTGATGAGGCCTCAGGCTCCTCCCTTGACCGCTTCTCCTGGTGCCCGCAGACTACTTGGCAAGCAGGGCCCAGGCAGCCCTGGACGCCGTGAGCGCCCTGGAGAAGGGCCATGCCCAGTACCTGGTGTCCAGGTCAGGTAAGCACGGTGGTGGGGGGACCGGAACAGGCAGGGCAGGGGCCGCCGGCACTGGGGAGCCCGTTTCGCTGACCGTGGCTGCCTCCTGCCGCTGGGGAGCCTCCCAGAGCCGTGTCCCCCGGCGCACGCCCACCGGGAGCCCAGCCCGGCCTGCCCGTGAGCCTGGCATCACCCAGACCTAGCTTTGTTCCCAGCTTCGCTGTCGTCTGGCCACCTGACCTTGGTGTAGGCTCTTGTCCCCTCCGAGCTTCTGCTCCATAAACTGGAGCCTGGTGCTTGTTGGGCTTGTGGGCAGAGGACTTGAGCAGCCTGCCCGGCCCAGCCTGGCTCCCTGGTGGCGGCTTGAGGGTTCTGTCTTTCCTTCCCTCCCCAGACGCCTCTGCGCTGGTGGCAGCCCTGACGCAGTTCTCCTACCTGGCCGCAGACACCATCGTCCATGGCGGTGCCACCTCCCACCTGGCACCCACCGACCCTGCCGACCGTAAGTGGGCCCCGGGCTTGATCCCCACACGGCGCCCGCGGTGGACCCAGGGAAGGCGGGGGACAGACCGGGCCTGGCGTCAGACCCGGTGCGGGGGTGTCTTCCAGGCCCCTGACCCACCTCTCTCCCCAGGCCTGATTGACACGTGCAGGGAGTGTGGGGCCCGGGCTCTGGAGCTCGCGGGGCGGCTGCAGCAGCAGCACACCCTGCAGCAGGCGCAGCCGGGCCTGGTACGGACCCCACTGCAGGGCATCCTGCGGCTGGGCCAGGTGAGGGGTGCGGCCTGGGGTCTGCCGGGATGAGGCTCGGGGCCCCAACTTCCCTGCACCTGCCTTTACTTTCGGCTGAACCGGTGCTCGTTTGTGGGGCTGACGGCTGGAGGACACAGGGCAGGGACCGAGCAGCCACCCCCCCCCGCCTTCCAGCACTGCTGCTCCTGCCTCCCCCAGACTCCCTGGGATTGCTGGGGCTCACGTCTGCCCTGACTCCTGATGCCTCTTCCCCAGGAGCTGAAGCCCAAGAGCCTGGATGTGCGTCAGGAGGAACTTGGGGCCATGGTGGACAAGGAGATGGCGGCCACATCCGCGGCCATCGAAGATGCTGTGCGGAGGATCGAGGTGAGGGCAGGGGTGCGAGGGCTCCCCCGGCTCCTGCGGGAGCCCTGCGGCTACGCTGGGCTGCGTGCGGGGCAGAGGGCTGGCTATTTGGGGGGCGGGGGACGGTCTAGCACCGCACCCCCCTCGCTCCCACGCTGCCCTCCTCCCCGCCTGCTCACACCTGTCACTGGCTGCAGGACATGATGAACCAGGCCCGCCATGCCAGCTCTGGGGTGAAGCTAGAGGTGAACGAAAGGTGAGCCCCCCTCCTGCACCACCCCCGAGCCCCCGGGTCCCAGGGAGCTCTGTCCCGCCTGCCTGGCTCTCCAGCAGGGACTGGGAACAAGCAAAGCCCAGCCTGCCCTGTGAGCCCAGCCTGCTGAACACGCGCGTCAGACCTGTGTCGTCCACGCGGAGGGCAGGCTCTCCAGGGTCACACTGGATTCACGCTCTCTCCCCCCTCCCCCCCTGTACCCCCCACTTCCCCGCTTCCCCCACTCCCCCGCCCCCCAAACCCTCCTGTTCGCCTCAGGATCCTCAATTCCTGCACAGACCTGATGAAGGTGAGTGACTGGTTGGGACCCCAGGGTGGGCTGTGTGTCTGGGAAGACCACCCCAAGAGTGACATGTGCTTTGGTCTTGGCAGGCCATCCGGCTCTTGGTGACAACGTCCACCAGCTTGCAGATGGAAATTGTGGAGGGCGGCAGGGTGAGCAGGCCCGATTTCTGAAAGGGCCGGGAGCTCAGAGCCCCCCTACATCCCAAACCCTGGGCTTCAGCTGACCCCAGGGCTCCTTTGGGCATGAGCTGCCTGCAGTGTGCAAAATGATCAGACATCCCCGCCCCCCAGCTCACTGATAGTGTGCCCGGGGTTCACACCTGAATCCCCCCCACGGCCCAGGGACGGATCCTTGTGGCTGAAGTGAAGGCAGAGGGGCCCCACGTGGGGATCTGTTTCTACCTGTGGCATCACTGACCCGTCCGCCCCACCCTGCCTTGCCCTCCTGTTGTCACTAGGGGGCAGCCACGCAGCAGGAATTTTATGCCAAGAACTCCAGGTGGACTGAAGGCCTCATCTCTGCCTCCAAGGCCGTGGGCTGGGGAGCCACGCAGCTGGTGTATGTCGCCCCAGGTGGGGGGCAGCAGGGTGTTCGGTGCTCAGGGTCTGGGGAGGGAGCGTGGTGGTGGCCTGGTGCCCAGAAGGTCCAAGACCCAGGCCCCGCCTGGCTCTGCCCGCAGGGAGTCGGCCGACAGAGTGGTGCTCCACACGGGCAAGTATGAAGAGCTCATCGTCTGTTCGCATGAGATCGCAGCCAGCACGGCCCAGCTGGTGGCAGCGTCCAAGGTGAGGCTTCATGCGTGGTGGCCTCTCGCGTCCCGGCTGTGGCAGACGGGCCCCATGTGATGGGCGTGAGCCTGACCTGCCCCCACGCTCCCCCAGGTGAAGGCAGACAAACACAGCCCGCACCTGAGCCGCCTGCAGGAGTGCTCCCGCACCGTCAACGAGATGGCGGCCAACGTGGTGGCCTCCACAAAGTCAGGCCAGGAGCAAATCGAAGAAAGAGGTGAGCCTGGGCCCTGGTGGTGGCTGGGGCGGGGGAGGGTGCACAGAGACTAACCCCCCCCCCCCCCCCCCGGCGGGCCACAGACACCATGGATTTCTCCGGCCTGTCCCTCATCAAGCTGAAGAAGCAGGAGATGGAGACCCAGGTGTGTCCGCTGCTGGCCTTCGTGCCTCCAGCTCCTCCCCGAGGGCTGAACCCCGGGAGGGTGGACGGGACTGGCCACGCGGCCATGCTGAGCGGGCGTGTGGGGCTGCAGGTTCGCGTCCTGGAGCTGGAGAAGACGCTGGAGGCGGAGCGCGTGCGGCTGGGAGAGCTGCGCAAGCAGCATTACGTGCTGGCTGGCGGCGTGGGGGTGCCGAGCGAGGAGGAGCACAGCCGACCCAGTGCTGCCCCCCGCAGCGGGACCACCAAGAAGCCGCCCCTGGCCCAGAAGCCCAGTGTGGCCCCCAGGCAGGACCAGCAGGTGCTGGGCCTCGGCGTGGGGGGCAGGGAGGGGCCCTAAGGGTGCGGCCCCCCGTCTCTGCTTCCCGGTCTGCGGGACACAGGGCAGACATGCTGCCCCAGCAACATGGGGAGGGCGGGCAAGGGGCCGAGGGAAGATGGGGTGTGTGGGGGCCCAGCCACGTTCACGGAGCCCCTTTACTTTGACTCCTGTAGCTGGACAGAAAGGACGGAGTCTACCCGGCTCAGCTTGTGAACTACTAGGCTCCCGAGGGGCCAGTGGGCGGGCCTGGGCCTGGGGCGGCTGCTGGAGCCTCCGAGCGGCGCAGGCTTTCACCCCACCGCCCGGACCAGTGTCCCCGAGGTCCCCAGCCCTCACCGAACCCAAAGGATCATGGGCCGGTTCTCCATCCACAACAGGCACTCGTGAGCGCAGCCAGGACCCAGCAGGCCTGAGCCACAAAGTGTTCAGGAAATACATGGAACATGTGTAACATTCGGAGCTCGAGCTTTCTTTTGGGTCTGTTCACCCTGAGCCGCAGGGCCGCACCAGAGGGAGTTTGGGCAGGACCTGCCCTGCTTTTTGAATTCAAGGTCTGAGATCCCTGCTGGCTGTTGGGGACACGGGCAAGACGTCCCCTATTTGTTGCCTTCCCGGGTCACTGACTCCATGGAGATGGGGTGAGGGTGGCCTCCAGCAAAGCGACTGCTCTAGAGTGGCCTAGTATTGCCTGTTCTCCTTGGGCCTCACTCCACGGGCCTCGGGGATGGGCATGTGGAGGACGACACTCCTTGAGGGAGATGTGGGCCAGGCACTGCCACCAAGCCCCGTGAGCACAGGTGCTGTGCTGTCACTCCAGGGGTCTGTTCTGCCGCGACCTGGGCTGACCCTCCTGTGTCTCAGGCCCCCGATCTGGCTGCTCCTGCCCTGGAGGCCCGTTCTGCCTGTTTCCCATTGCACCCCCCCCCACTCCCCCCTGCCCTCCACCTCCCTCCCCACTAGTTGATGGCCAGCCCTCCTGAAGGCCCCCCCAGCTCAGCCACAAAAAGCCCAAGAACTAGGTCGCCTGCTTGCCATCCCCCAGGTCAAGGGCACCTTGTGCCCCACAGGAAGGGGCCTCCCGCAGCCTGGCAACAGCCCCACCCCATCAGGAGGAAGAAATTAGAGAGACAGACACAGACACAGACAGACACACGCGCATGCACCCTCCCCGCCCCCCGCCAGCAGGTTGGTCCAGCACCAGCCACGGTCTGGAGGGGAGCAAGGGAGCAAGCTCTTCTGCTTTGCTTTTAATCTTTCCTTGTGTTGAAGTCAGACTGGCAATAAAATGCACTTGGACTGTCATCGTTGCCCTACGGTGAGGGGCCGCGCCTCGGCTGTCCTTTCTCCAGGGCCACGACGCGCGCCACAGGGCAGGACCCCTTCGGTCCTGCAGGCGCCAGGACCCTCGGAACCCTGGTGCTGCCTGGCTTGGTTCTTGGCAAGTCTGGGACTGGAGACCCTAGGCCGGACACTCGTGGGGGGAGTTGGGGCCTGGGGCTTTCCTCCCTGGCCTCCGCTCCCCACCCAAGCCCCCGTCAGAAGCCACCTTCTTTGAGAAGGGAAGGGGTGACCACGGAGTCCCTGCAGTTAAGAACAGCCCACGTCGGGGCTTGGTGGTGGGTGAGTGGGCGGACTCCCAACTGGCCCGGACTGAACCCGCGTGGCCACGCCCAGCTGTGTAATAACACATCAGGCCTCCGGGTCCCCAGCATCACCGCTAGCTGTACGGCCACCTGCACCCGCGCCGAGGGCTCCCGGCCGGGCAGTCGTGCCTTGGCGCGCTGCCCTCCACGCCCACCTCCCCACCGGCCACAGGCGGTCGTGCAGCAAAGACCATGCAGGTCAAGGCAGAAAAAGATGAACTTGGGTGGCTTCCACTGCGTGTGGCCTCAGCTGGGAATCTCCCTCCCTGGGCCTAGGATTTCCCAGAGCACGGAATGGGGCCTGTCCCCCACCGGGCCACAATGACGTGGGGGGGGGGGGGTTAAGTGCTTCGAAAAGTCCATAAACGGGGAGACGGAGCCAGTGCCTGGTGCTCGTTTCTAAGAGAAAACGGCTTCAGGAAAGACTCGAGCTGACGGCCGCTCCCCCACGTGCAAACCAGTGAGAACTGGCACGAGCCCACGTGGTCGAGCCAGAGAAACGTAGGCTTGTTTTGAAATCAAGTCCTCAGTGACCGAACCTTTAACTGGAAACCCCAAACAAGAAGCCTTGGGGTCTGATCCTGGCAGGCCCCCTACCTCCCTGACCTCTGCCCTGCACGAGGGAGGGCCCAGAGAAGGGAGCGACTGCCCTTACCGGACGCTCGGGGTGTGGCTGTAAGCTCCCTGGCAGGCACTGGGAAAAGAAACGATCAGACACAAATTCTCAAGCACACTGACCTCTCTGAGGCTTTCCTCTTCCGTGGAAACCACCGTGGGGTGTCTGGCCCAGCCTCCCGGTGCGGTGACGTGCAGGGAACGGCACCCGGTTTAGAGATGAGCTTCACAGGGCTGTTCTCGGTGCTCGTCTCCCAACCAGTGCAAGCAGGAAGGCCCAACCTTGGGGGTGGGGGGTACAGAGGGAGTGGCGGGGTCCCTCCTCCCAGCCTTGAAAGGGAAGCAGCCTGGGAGGGTGGGGAGGGGCTCCCCGTCTGCAGAATGAAAGGTCACCCGCTCAATTCTATCATTTATTTGCAACAAGCAAAGAATGTCTGTCACTTCGGTCAGCGCTGGTGCCTGTGTGGACCTGGCCAGGGAGCGCCTGAGCCCGGAGGGCACCCACAGTCACCTGCAGAGGCCCAAGCAGCGCGGCTGCACCCCTGTAGTCACGTCGTGACACAGGAGCAGTGTACTTCTCATGAACAGGAGTGAAGGGCAGAATGGGGAAAACGATAGGCTGAAAGGCTGTATCAGTGCCAGCGACCTGGTCAGGGCAGACGCCTCAGGGACGGTGGGTGGCTTTTTAACTTCTACACACAAGTCAGCTTCCCGGCTGGAACCCTGATCAGCGATACTCTAGAACCGCACGCATGAACATCCCCCGATAAATAAAGCACAGAACTGTTGTTAATTCTCTATTTATTAAAAAGGGTCCTACAGCTTTACAACCCCAGCTCAGGCCTGGGCCCGCAGCGAGACCAGCCTGGCGGCCCTTCACCACATTGACACTGAGTACACACCCTTGGCTACAACCCACGTGGGCTTGGGGGCAGCCCCCCACCGACCTGGGGTAGGCGGCGCGGCTCCTGGGGAGAGGAGGGGAGGGCCCTGATCACGGCAGGCACGCCGTCCCGTCCAGCTAGGACACAGTGGGGCTCCAGTCTGGGAGAACCACAGGCTAACTGAAGACGAAGGTGGTGGCCTCCCCCGTGGCCTGCTGGGACAGACCCCCCCCTTTGAGCACTGCCTCAATTCTGTCACCGGGACAGGAAGAGCGGGGGTTGGTCCCAGAGCGTCTGCCGATCCTGGTGCTGGCTTTCTCCATCGCACGGGGACGTGCCGCCGGCCTCCCTCGCTCCCGCACCGAGCCCCGAGCCAAGGCCGAGAATACCGGCTACGAATATCCTGGTTCAAGATGGGACAGAATTCTACCTGCAACACAATTGACTTGAACAAGCCCCTCTGGGAACACAGAGCCACTGGTGAGAGCCACCTCTCGGCCTGCCCAGCCTGTGGGCCTGCAAGGGAGCCATGGATGGTCCCTCATTGGCACCAGGGGAAACTAAGGCACAGCACAGGCACCCACAGGTGTGACCATACACAGCTTGTGAGAAAGGAAATTGCATTCGCTTCTGTACTTCAATCTGTTCAAAACAATTATGTGCATTTTTATAAAGTTTCCCTGAATGGTCTTGTGTCAAAAAAGTTTTCTTTCCCCATATAAAACAAATTACAGACATAGTAAAAATATTGGGGGAGTATTTTTTCATAGAAACCCACAGGGGCTGGCCCGAGGCGGGGGAGAGAGGAAGAGCCGAGGACGGCGTCTGCTGTGCAAAGTCCAGCTCGGACCAGTGTCCCCCGGCTGCGACGTGCCCAGCCTCCGGACCTGGCAGTGGGCCAAGTGCAAACTCTGCATGTGGCTTTGAAGCATCCAGGTTTGGGGGGGGGGGTGGGGAGGACTGGCAACCCCCACCCGCCGATTCAGAAAGCACCTTCCAGGCGGGCCCACCTGACAGACCCTGACCAGGGACGGTGGCGGGCTGGGCCACACGGCGCTGTCTTGCGCACGGAGCAGGAATGACCAAGCATGCTTATTAAATAAAGCCACAAGAGGACCACGATTCTAAGTGGGAAGGGAGGGAGGCTTTGCCCCCAGACTCACGAGTCCACCAACACTACAGGACCTAGAAATCATACCGAGGACAAACCATTGTGGCCGTGGGGACACCGGGGTGGGGCCCTGCGCGCACAACCACCTGGGTGCAAAACCGGGGTCTATGTCTACTTACCAGCGACCTAGAGTTCTACAGTCCGATGGGCGCGCGGGCCCAGGGCCGCAGCCCCCGTGCTCGCAGCCTGTGCGCAGGGCCCTGGCCAGCAGGGGCAGGCTCCCAGGAGGGCGAGGCCGCTCACTGGAGGATGAAGCCCGGCTGGTGCGGCGGCAGCCGGGGTGGGGGTCTCTGGGGGAGAGCGGGCGGGTACGGAGACATGAACTGTGCGGAGAATCCTTGCTGGGGGGGTAGGCCCACGCGGGGGGGCAGGGGAGGGCACTGTGATCCGGGGTACGGAAGGGCCTGTCCTGAGCCCATGGCGGCGGTAAACGGTGTGGCCAAGCGTCCTGCAGGCACTGGGGGAGGCGGCGGGGGGATGCGCCGAGGTAGCACAGAGGGGGGCCCGCTGGCCTCCGAGGTAGGGTAGGGCAGGGGGGCAGCGGGCGCCGGCTCGGGCACCCTGGGGGGCAGCGGGGCCGGCACCGAGGCCTGCGGAAGTCTCTGTCCCTTCAGCACCAGCTCCTGGAGCTTCTCGATTTTCACTCTTCGTGTGTGGGCCAGTTTCCGCCTGCTCTGATAGACATCGATGAAGGAGTCCAGAGGAAGCTCTCCGTCGAGAAACTTCTCTGCCATGTTCTGGAAGCAGCAAGAGAAACTCATTATAGGGATAGTTCAGCCCTTAAGGGAAGGAACTCCCCTCACCACCACCCCACCCGGCTTCCATCACCTGTACCCCACGCAACCCCAGCCACCACGTGCTCCATGTTGCAGACCTTGGCTGACCTCGGAGAAGCCCCCAACCCCCAGCAGAGAAAAGGGGACAGAGGTGGCTGGTCCTGACCACCTGCCCCACAAGCTGGACAAGGCAGGGCCTTAGGGAGAGCCAGCCTTAGATGAAGGGGGCCTCCCAGCAGCGCTGAGCTGTGGGGTCTCCTGGCCCGGAGAAAGCCACCGTACCCACTCACTAAGCCACCCGGAGTCCCTTCCTCCACTGACTGCACCCTGACAGACCCACCCGTACACACACAGTCAGCAGGAGACGTGCTCACGTCCACCCGGCCCCTGCCCATGCCCAGGGGTTACTTCAACCACGTGGCCTAACTCAGCAACATGCCACCCGCCCCAGCTCGCTACACCACACAGCTTTTGACCTTGACTCATCGCCTTATCACTTAGGGAGGCCCACGCCTCCAGTGCTCAAACTGGCCGCATCTCCCAAGCTCTGCCCTGCCCCCCAGTTCAGAGCCACTGGCGGCCGCGGCGCAGATTCCCAGCAGGGCGTGCCCCCCTCACCTGAGGACCAGACCCTCCTGGCCACCGAGGTGCGGCACTTGCCATCCCTGGAGGAACCAGCCCAAAGGGGACCCACCCAGTAACCATGCCCCAGGGCACTGCCCCCCCCACCCCCCACACAAGCTGCTCTACCTCAGTGTCCTCCTCAATCTTGGCTCCTTCTGCCTGAAGCAGCGCCAGCAGGGTCTCCAAGGAAGCGCTGCTTGACTGTTTATCTGGAGGAAGCAAGACATGCGATGAGGGGCAAGGGGGTGGGCACTCGGGACCCACGCACTCCCCCAGACTCCCCGCCACCCACCTTCCAAAGAAAGAGAGCACCTTAACTGAAAAGGCAATGGGAGAGTCACACCACCGACACCTGGCTTTCCAGAAAGGTCAAGGCCTTAAAATCCAAGGGAGGAAGGAGCACAGAGGACAAAAGCAGGGGAGCCTTGGGGCCGCACGTCCCCGTCGGGCCCACAGAGGGCTCTTACCCAGCACACGGTGCACCACTAGTCACCCACGCAGCTTTCCTTTGTGGTTTCGAGAACTTATACAGTACACGTAACTGAAGCCTAGGACCCGCATTTTTACAGATGTATAAAGCCCCAGCCACCACCCAGATCAGGATGCAGAACATCAGCAAAGGCTCCCGGGGCCCAGTCCCAGAGGCGGCCCCGGTTCGGAACGTCAGGTAAGCAGGTCGCACGCATGTACTCCATGCTGGTCCCTTCCACTCGGCACCTTGTCTCTGAGATCTCCTCGCTCCTTTCAGCGTCCACTGTGTGGCTATCACAACTTACTTCCCCATCATTCTGTACACGGCCATTCAGATGTTCCCAAGTTCGGCTATTAAGAAGAAAACTACACACGAACGCCCTTGTCCCCACCCCCGTGGACAGACACGGATGCCCATCACTGCCGGGGGCGGACCTGGGGGCAGCCTGGATGGGTGGCAGAGTGAGCACACATCTCGTTCAGGTTTTGCTGAACGACGTTTCCCTCAAGGTGGTTTTTCCCAATTTACACTCCTCCCGGCAAGGGCAAGGCTCCTTGCCCACGTCGGATACCACCTGGACTCGCTCTGGCGGGTGCGCACCAAGTTTTCGCTGCACTTGCGCAGACGGTGAGAGGGAGTCTCAGGATCAGAGGTCATGTCCACCTCAGGGAAGGGCTGGGTTCTTAACCCTTTCTTCATCTCAGCCCCTTTAAAAGCCACCCCAAGCACTAGGACTCAACGCAGAGCTCCTACAGCTCTTCATAACAACTGCTGATTTAAGTGTGACATTAAAATGAAATGTTCCCGGGGCACCTGGGTGGCTCAGTCGGTTAAGTGTCTGACTTTGGCTCAGGTCATATCTCATTGTGAGTTTGAGCCCCAGGGCTCTATGCTGACAGCTCAGAGCCTGGAGCCTGCTTCTGATTCTGTCTCCCTCCCTCCCTCTCTCTGTCCCCCCCCACCCCCCCCCGGCTCGTGCTCTGTCTCTCAAAAATGAACATTAAAAAAAAAAAAAAAAGAGGGGCACCTGGGTGACTCAGTCGATTAAGTATCTGACTTCAGCTCAGGTCATGATCTCACAGTTCTGGGGGTTTGAGACCTGCTCCTCCCCTGCTCACCCTGTCTCTCGCGCTCTCAAAAAGAAATATTAAAAAATAAAAATAAATTTAAAAAAATTTTTAAAAAGCCATGTTCCCATGATAGAGATTTCTCAACACAATCTTTGAGGACCACAGGATAAGTGTCTGTTAAATAAGATTAAGAAAGTTACCTTTTTCTGCCCTATTTGGAGAAGGTGAAATTTGTTTAAAAAGTGGTTAAGTCTCAGGTCACCTGGAGGGCTCAGTCACTTAAGCGTCCGACTTCGGCTCAGGTCATGATCTCACAGTTCGTGGGTTTGAGTCCCACGTCGGGTTCTGTGCTGACAGCTCAGAGCCTGGAGCCTGCTTCGGATTCTGTGTCTCCCTCTCTCTCTGACCCTCCCCTGCTCACACTGTCTCTCTCTCTCTCTCTCCCCCTCAGAAATAAACATAAAAAAAAAAAATTTTTTAAAAAGATTCTGTCTCCCTCTCTCTCTGCCTGTCCCCTAATCACCTCTCTCTCTCAAAAATAAACATTTAAAAAAATTTAAGTGGTTAAGTCTCTTTTCCAAATAGGTGAAATGATTGTAAACTTTTTCTTTGTGGCATTAACCACAGTCTTAATCTGAAAATTTTCCATAATAATACTTCTTTCCCGGTAATCTAACAGTTTGAAAATGTGTCCTTCCCTCAACTCTTTATTCTTGGAAGATCACCCTGAAAAAGTTACCTAATTTGGTCTTCTTTATCTGATAGGCTTCAAAGAGAACCTGGAGTTCCTGGTATTTTTGGGTCAAACATGCTTTCAGGGCGTCCAGCCGGGGCTGGTACAGGAGGTTTCCTTCTGCCAGGCTCCGGTTGCTGGCGAGCGTCATTTCTTTGTTAAGCTGCACGTTCTGCGCCTGCAGGGAACACAGGACGGTGAGAAGCAAGTGCTGGTTCCCGGGCCCCACCCCCAGGAGCCACCACATCTGCTTCCGTCTGGCTGGTCACCAGGCTGGGACCGCATGTGCGGCCGCTCCCAGCGCAGGCTCCAGCCCCTCCGGCTTTCTAGTTTGGACACAGCTCTCTGTTCTTAAAGAGCAGAGCCGCTTCTTTTCCAACCATTTGCAGCCGGGCTTTGTCTTGTGACTTGTCAAGGCTTTTTGCTTCAATAGCCACACTGTGACGGCGGTTCCTTACTGCCGCCATCGTGCCTCCAAGAATAAACAGCTGTAAAGATTTAGGGCTAGATTTGTTCAAAACCAGTTTCTGCTGCTCCAGAGGAAGTTAAAGACTCACTTTTAACAGAGGAGGATCAGTTGGCAGGGTGTCAATTCAGGCTCAGTCACCAGGCTTAGGGATCAAACACGGGAAGCCTGACACCCCCGGGAAAGAATTCCATTTGCAATGACCCTGTTCTTTCTCCCGCCCCACCTCCCGCTCCTCCTCGACTGAGGGGAAGGCCAGAGTCCTCCCAGCTCCCAGCACCCGACCCAGAGCGGGGGCCAGGGGGCTATCTGGGAGGTAGAGAAGCCCACGTGCCCAGACCCCAGGGGGGGACGAGGAAATGGAAGGCCTGAGGATAAGGAATTCCTATTAAAACTTAGCCAAGCTATGTTTAAAGAAAACCCCCAAACCCACACCCATGAGGCACCATCCATACTGGCGAGTGACAGGCCTCCGCGGCCCCATCTGCCCACAGCAGCCTCACTGTCTGGATCCAAAGTTCCCACAGTGCAGAGTCCTTCCCCATCGTGCCGCGTTTTCATGTTCTCGTAGCTTTCCTGCAACAGCCTCCACTTATCTCGTTCTCCCCTTGGTACGTGCTGCCGCCCCGCCCAGGCTATTTTCGCCGCAACTTCCTTCCTCCCAAGAGTCTAGGTGCAGATTTCCCACCGCACTGCCTCCGTGCTGGCCACGCCCACCCAGGGCGCCAGCCCAGCTCCTCGCACACGCACCCCCAGGCCTGGCCGGGAGGGCTCCCTACAGCAGACAGAACCTGAATCTCTGCACCCAGGAGCTGGGCCTGGGGGGCCCTAAAGATTCCCCTCGGCTTAAGATAGAATTTAAATTAAGGATTTAAATTAAAATAGAAAATTGAGCCTCTAGGTCAACACCACAAAGTCAATGCAGCAGCCATACTCTGATCTCCTGCTGCTGGAGAACTCGGGGCCCTATGTAAACAGGGTTCTGGAAGGGCCGCCACCTCCCGGCATGCAGCAGCTCCCTGCCCTGTGCAGGTGTGTCCCAAGCTCCTGCAATTGTTAAGCCACTGGAAAGAACACACAACACACGCAAGCCATCGTACAGCTACTCTGGAAGAGAGCTCAGCAATTTCTTTTAAAACTAAATGTGCAACTACCACACACCCCAGAAACTGTACTCCTGGGCATTCGCCCCGGGAAAATAAAAACTTCTCTCCACGCAAAACCTGCACGTGAATGTTCAATATGGCTTTATTTGTAACAGCCAAGAACCCGAAGCAACGCAGCTGTCGCTCTGGGTGGGTGGCGGAACAGAGTGCGCGGTGTCCCTGCCGAGGAACACTCCGCCTTAACACGGACAAAGCCTGACACACGATGAAGCTCCAGGGAATCCTGCTGAGCCCAGGGGGCCACACGCTCTACGAGTCGGGGTGTAGGACACTTTCGACACGCCAGAGTCACAGAAACGGGAGACAGGGGAGTGGCTGGGGGCGAGTGGTGGGAAGGAGGCTCGTGGGGACGGGGGTGCTCCGCTCTTCCCGTCCTGGGAGGGGAGGGCAGGGTTCTGCAAGGGGTTCCCGCTGCGGGGAGTGGGTGAGAGGCAGGCGGGATCCCGGTTCCTCCTGACAACCGCTTGTGCATCTAGTTACCTCAAGATTCCAAGTTTAGTTAAAAATCAACAAACTGCTGATGAGTTTTACACCCCACCCCATCTCATCCGGCTCCCCGCCAGCCCACCATCATTCTGTCTTAATTCTTTGTTCAATAAACATTTACTAAGCAACTCTTACTTGCCAGGCAGGGAGGACGGAGAAGAGGAAGGGCACTCTCTTCGTCACATACACCCAGGTGACATAAATGGAACAGAACTGAGCACGCCCGGATCGGACAACAAATGCCCCAAAATCCTTTATGGAGACAGGCTCCCTTGATCAAGTCCTTCGAGACCACGTCTGCAGGGGTCTCACACTGGATCTAAGGTTTATGCCGAAGCAAGATTTCTGTCCACACTCAAGGCCCCGCTGTGAGCACAGGTCTCCAGAGGGTCCCCTGGAAAGGACTGGTGTCCAATGAAGCATCTAAACCTGGCGTGCTGGCGAAGGATCACTCTACAGCAGTAGGCCTGGACTTCGGCCAGACCTTACAACTACCTGAGGGAGGGGTGTCGGTGTGTCCCAGTGCCCAGACCAACCCTGGACCGGCCAGACTCTCCAGGAGGGGCCCAGGAGTGTTTCCCAAGCTCCACGGGGGGTTCCAACACACAGCTAAGTGCTACTGCTTCAGTCTCAGCGTATAACCAATCTCCAAAGAAATCTTATTCTCCTAGGGTCTAAATCAGGTCGAAATCACGTCTCCTGCATATCAGAAAGTCCTAGAAGAGAGCAGCACAAAGGCAGCACAGGCCATAATCCAAAGGCAGTCTGTTTGCACAGGAGGCATTAGGGCAAAGTTTAAGCCACCAGCCACCAAAACAGCCAAATAAAGCTGCAACTGACAGCCCTCAGAAGCAGCCTGTAATTTTTTTTTTTATATCCTCTGGGGATTCAGATGTTTTTAATGTTTGGTTATTTTTGAGAGACAGAAGGAGACAGAGTGTGAGCAGGGAAGGGACAGAGAGAGAGGGAGACACAGAATCGGAAGCAGGCTCCAGGCTCTGAGCGGTCAGCAGAGAGCCGAATGTGGGACTCGAGGTCATGAACAGTGAGACCGTGACCTGAGCCGAAGTTGGACGCTTAACCGACTGAGCCCCCAGGTGCGCCGCAGATGTTTTTACAGAAGTACTGGTAAGTTCTAAGTGGCCATCCAGGGCACACCTACAGCACTCTGCAGTGGACAGCGGTGGTGGGGACGACGGCCTGGATTCCAACACTTCTGTGCGTCCCAGAACACACCTCTGATGATGCTACATTAGACGCTGAAAAAGACATTTTTCCTCCTTAATACTCCTTTCCACTGCACCAAGTGAATACGGGAGGGGAACTGCCAGTCTTGTTCCATCATTTGCAAAGCAAAGCGGAGCTGGGAGAGCAGGCCAGAGCGTGCCCGGGGGTGGGGGTGCAGCCCTGCCCATGGGGATGGTGCACACCACGCAGGCTTAGCAGGTCCGAGTGGCAGCCACTCGGGGCGACACATGGCCCAGCTCTCCACGTCCTGTAAGACCAACTCCAGCCTCAGCATCTGTGACCGAATCTGAACCGCAACTCGGAGAACGCTCGCAAGGCCCACATATTTTGGGGCGCAGACGCCTGAAACTGGAACAGTACTGCCAACCTCCTGATGGCTCTCATGATCCCTTTTCTTAACCATAGAGAGATCTTTTCAGGAAATAATCTGTCTGTGGTAAGAAGATTTTAAACTGCGCACTCAGGGTTACTTCAGTTTCCTTTTCTGCTCATAACCAAAGAAAAACGAGATGCAGGACTGTGGCATTTAGAGCAGGACCCCATTTATACAGTCCGTTCTGCCCATCTGTCTATCCAGGAGCCGCCTGAGAGAATGGTCACCCTGAAGTGACGACAGCAACATCTGAATGTTTTTAACTTCCCTCTTTCTACTTGGACATGGTGCTTGATTTACTACAACATGTATAAGTTTACGAAAAAGCATCATTGACTACAGCCTGTTAGATATTAGAACTGAAAGAGCAGAGGCTGTAGAAAACATAAGCTGTTTCAAGAACAGGGGAAGGGGATTAGGAGATTAATCATCCAGGTATAAAATAAGTCAGTCATGGAGAGGACAAGCACAGCGCAGGGAACACAGTCGATAATATTATAACAACATGGGGTGGGGACAGGCAGGAGCTACACTAATCGTGGCGGCCAGTGAATATTCTAGAGAACTGTCAAATCACTATGTAGCACACTGGAGACTAACGGGACATGTCAGTTACACTTCAATAAAAAAAAAAAAAACAAAGGACCATCAACCACATAGACACACACACACACACACACACACACACACAGAGAAAACAAGGTATTTTATACGTGCTTTGTTCAGGAAGACATGTAAAGACCACTTGATCTCTTGCAATGCTCACATAATACGTGAAGTTGTTAGCATGCACATGCTACCTCAAATGCATGCTATTATTATTATTTTGAGAGAGAGAGAGAGAGAGAGAGGAGAATCTCAAGCAGGCTCTGTGCTAAGTGCAGAGGCTCCATCCCATGAACCGTGAGATCATGACCTGAGGTGAAATCAAGAGTCAGACCCGTAACCAACCGAGACCCCACAGACGCCCCGACCATTCTTTCTGAACTTGGGTTGGGGAAGCGTAGTAGAAAATCGAGCCGGTAAGGAAGAAACCCTACATCAACTCCCCTCTGGGTGACACACGCTACGGTCACAAACAAGAGGCGCTGGGCCAGGCTGGGGAGACTGCCTGCGCCCCACCAGCCAGCGTGCGGTTCAAGTTTTGAGTGTGCGGAGGAGGTTTTCCAAAGCAGACGCTTTACAGGGCACAGCGGAAAACTTCAGACTGCTCTGCGGAGGGCCATGCAGCACGGAATACACATGGAGGCGGCTGGCTTCACACAACTCCTTCCCTTCAGCTGAAATTCCGCCCTCTTCCTCTTGGAGAAGAGGTCAGAATGTGAGAGCAGTGTTCCGATGTGACAGCCCGAAAGCCACTAGAATTTACACTCTTTTTAAAAGACACTCCAGCTTCAGTACCTCAAGGACAGCTCCTAACAGCCACAGTGAAATGCTCCACCACGATGGTCAGTTGGTTGTTTCATTCATTCATTCATTCATTCAAGAAACACTTATGAAGCACCTCTACCTCGGGGCTCCAGGGAGACCAGAACCAGAACATTCTGTCCCCATAGCCCTGAGTGTAGGTAGGCCTTGTGAGCATCACACTGCCCAACTCCAGGGGGGAGCCAGGCCCCTCGTACCACAGCCCTGAACACAGACTGCATTTGCTTTTCAAATAAAAGGCTTAAGAGAGAAAAAGGGTGGGGGGAATCCAAATAGAGGGGAACTTAAAAATTTAAATAAGAGAAGTTCCTGGTGATGTGAAAACTTCACTCTGTCAGCACCCTGCAGGTTTCAACAGGACTTAACATTTATGGAGCACTTACTGCATGCTCGGCACTGTGCCACCTTCTCTCCATGCATTATCTCCATTTAATCCTCTAGCAGCAGGAAGTGGGGGTGCCAATTTGCCCCGGGAAAGAAATACAACTTCAGGGAAGTTAAGAGACCACCAGGGTCCAGAGTATCAGTAACCGTAGAGCCAAGAAGTTAAATGTTAAGATACTGGGTCTCCCAAGTGTGTCTTCTACAGGATTGTGCCCCGAATTATGCCACAGCGTCTACGGTCCACTGCATAGAACCCGTCTATCATCTCTCCATTTTCAAGTTCCAGGAGTCATCTAGATTTCAATTTCTAGCTTTTATTTACCTTTTTACTGAGAATATTTTCAAACACAAAGGAAAAGGATAGAGAGAGAATAAAGAATCTGTGCACATTCTCCAGGGCTCAGCAACTGGTGGACATTAGCCAATCCTGCTTCAAGATATCCCTCACTTTTTTCCCCTGAAGATTCCCCCTCCCCCGAAGTATTTTAAAGCAAATTTCAGGCATCCTATCATTTCACCCTTAAAAGCTTTAACGTGTATCTTTAATGGGGAGGAACTTTACA